TCAACGTCCCTTTACGGATATGAGTACTCCATCGTTTGAGTCGCCTGGGTTACTTCAGCCATGACACGTCCCCTCTCTTTGCTACTGACTCGGAGCTTCGGCCCCGGTCATGAGGAGTGGGGAGTCGCTGTTCCCCGTTGAATCTTCAATGCTTCCCAAAGTTTGATGAGAAGGTGACGGTCAGCCCGCCAGAGCCAGCAGCGATGCTTTTCGCCAATGGTTCGAACCAAGTCTTCTCCTGGAGCATCTCCTCGAAATGGTCGATCTACAACTCGTCCCTCGTCCATATCAGGAGTCAAACCGCGTAACCGAGACAAGCCTCTTCCGCCAATTGTTTACGATTCTGCTGACCCTGTTGCGGCTAAACGAGCAAGGAATACCGAAGCTGCTCGAAAATCACGTGCCCGCAAAGTCGAAGTCCAGGAGCAGATGGAGCGTCGTATTGCTGAACTGGAGAAGGAGCTGCAAAAGTCTCGTCAAAGCGAAGCCTATTGGAGATCCATTGCAGAGGCGAACGCGCTATGATGAACATGAAGTTTTGTTTCCGGTTTTGATCATTGTTATTTGAACTTTGTTGTGTTTTTTGTGTGATACTGTGTGGGCCGGCGAGGGCGGGCGGTTTTGAGCCATGTCTTCGTCTCGCATGACGATGTTTCTCTTGAACAATTGTCTTGCGCAACCTAAAAAGTCCTGGGATTTCGTTCCCGATGTCATCCCTTTGATTGCTTTTGATTCTTAATGCAGTTAATGATTTCGCTGCAAATATATTTTGCTTTTCTGTTTAGTCCTTTTTCGTGCCGGCCGGTTCTGACGTCTCCTTGGACTTGTCTACTGGATTGACTCGTGGCCTTAATATATGCTGCCGATTTGAAATGCCTCATTACTGTACTGTCGTTGTATGCTATTAGTTAACAACCAAAAACATTCGTTTTGCCTGGAAGCCCATTCCATATTCAAGCATTTCTCTTGTAGCTTACTGGAACGTAGCCCCTTTGAGGTTTGTCCTTGATGCACCTTGAAGATAGCAATATTAATAAGGGCCCTTCTGGAATGGCATACTCTACAGGTGTGAACCCGCCACTTTTCTCCTGGAGCCTGGATGATCCGAGAGGGGAAAAGTTACGATTTGGAGCACTGGTTAAACTTGTTCCCACCACCCAAACGCTGATAGTTTTCAACCTTGCTATATCAACTGCTAAGACCGGAGACTTCTTCGTGGGAGAAATCATCCTATGAAGAGAATGTCGGGAAGGAGAAAAACCATCTCTATTTTGAATCAACCAAAAAGCCCAAAGAAAAAAAAAAAACAAAGACACATACATACATACTGCTCCTTTTCACGGTGTCAGCCGAGCGCTAAAAACCACACGATGGAATGAAAACACAAAAAAAAGCCAGAGATGACGTGAAAAACACAGCAAACGGAAAACGAAAAGGCCGCCCCAGAAAGCAGGAAATAATTCTTCAGATCCACATTATCGCCCACACTCCAGCTCCATTTCCAACACCCGCCCCAAATCCCTTTTCGTAAATGATCAATCCGGACCTCCTAAACCCACGCGCCGTGACGATTGGAAACGAGAAAGAAAAAAGTAGCAAATGCACAAAAGGGATTAGTGGTGATCAAAAGGGGGCAAGGCCCATCAAGCAAACAAAAACGTGTTATGCGCAGGATCTGCAGGCAATGGAAAACAAATAGGAAAAATGCAAAAAAAAAATTTGGTACATGATATATGACAAGGTGATCCCCGTAACTATTCCCTATAGGTCCCCAGAATGCCCGAATAGCAAAATAAATCATACCGACGCAGCATTAAAAGCAATTCCCAGTTTTGTTTTCGCTCTGTCACCATGTCTATGAAAACGACAGAATGCCTGTTATATTGTCAACTATTATTCTTTCTCTTGGAAGGAAATCGTCATGTCCCTGATTCTTTTGGGTTACATGGTAGGGCCTGCGCCAGCGGACGTGTCGACAACGTTATCGGATAGGTTGATGAGAAGTTGGGCAAGGCAGCGTTTTGTCGCGGCATCGTCACGGAGAACAGATGAGAATGTAGCATCGCGAAGTGGCTCGGGAAGACATTGTCGAAGGGCCTCGCGAGCGCGGTTGTTGTCACTCAGACTAGTGGCTATTAGTAGGAGAATATAGTGGAGGATCACGCAGTAGAACGTACCGAAGAAAGCATCGGACAACATGCTTTAGTAATCTAACTGTCTGCTGTTCGACGAGTTGGGTGACCATATTGCTCAGGACAGACCCGACTGCGTAGAAACGCTCATACGTGGCGCAAATATACGCGAGGCCTATATCGTCAAGTAATATTTTTTGGACGATGAAAATGGCCACAGTTTTGCTCAATTCAGATCCAGTTTCCATTATTCGGAGACAGAGAGGGATGATCTCAGTTGTGAGAAGGAAATTGATCACATCTGACGAGTCATTCTTCACCAAAGCACCGATTACGCCCAGAGACGTCAGGCGAAGGTATTCAAATGGTCGTGACTTTGATGTAGTGTTCAAAAAAGGGTAGAGGAAAAGTGGAATATGCGCTGCCGCAAATGTGTTAGCCGCGAAATTCAAGAGAGTGGAGGATAAAAGTTTACCATTCAGGAACAGAGTCCGAGTTTCATTATGAGACGCGACGCACTGCAAAAGAGCAAGCGCATTGCAAACTCGATTTGACGCGGCGGCAGTAAGTTGTGAAGGGTTCAACAACGGGTAAACGGAAATAATCTCTTGCAGCAGCGAGGTCATGACACCTATACGATAAACTTTGATGAGCACTTGGACACAACTCGTATCATTCGTAGTGGAAGAATCATGTTGTCACCGACGTACCAAAGGAATGCCAAATAATCAGGGCCAACTCAGGCACCTGCTCCCGTTTCTTGCTCAGCTCCATAAGCGCAGTCTCCCTCCGACTCGGGTCCAACAGCTCCGCCACCCACACTAGGACTTTGCGATTCTCCTCGCTAAGCATGGTATCCGTGTTTAGAGACATTCCAGCGGCAGAATTGTCAGGCCCCCCCGGGACGGATTGGGCGTTATTCGTAGAAGCGCCGTTCAATGTTAGGCGATTGTAATGTTGCTGTTGCTGCTGCTGCTGTTGTTGTTGCTGGTGCTGTTGCTGGTGCTGAGCTACAGCTGCAACGTGTTGTGCTTGTGCAACATGCTGGGCAGAGGTTGCTAAAGAAGGATGGTGCTGCTGCTGTTGCTGCTGTTGTTGTTGTTGAAAGTGCGATTGGTGCTGTTGGTGCTGCAACCAGGTGGAATCGGCTTGGGGGTACTGGTGCTGATGCGAAAACAAGTGTTGGCTCTGAGCTTGAATCATTGTGCCAGGATCCGCAAGGGGCTTTATTTCTTTGTCGGCTGTTTGATCTTCTCTCTTTCGCACTCTGGGGGTAATGGCCCCGAGTGGGATTTGTGTGGTGGATGAGGGCGACGCAGGCGGAGGTTTCGAATTGCAGGTTCAAACCGAAGAGCGGGAAGACGTGGACGGCAGTAGCACTGATCCGAGAGCTGAGAGAGCTGAGAGAAAAGATTCAAGTGAGGATAATGACTGGCAGTGAGAGAGAGAGAGAATCGAGGTTTCGAGAGGTGAGGTGGAGAGCGAGCGTTTCGGTCCAGTCGGGATTGCTGACTCAGCATGGAGGACACAGTGAGAGTCAGCATATCTACGGAGTACGGAGTGCAATATCGAGATCGCTTGAAGGAATACCGGTGCTGCATTATGTTCTAGATCGCAGTACATCATCAAAACGCCCAAGCATCATATCATCGCCCAATATCTCCCTGTAGCATCCCATTTAACATCCATCATTTACAGTGCATATACATCGTCGAATCGGTCCTCACATCAATAGCCCAAATTGAACTCCACAAGACTCCAAGAAAGATGACCCTTTTTCATAAAACATCCATGCACAAGAAAAGCAAAAACGTCGTCCAGTACTCAATCGCGGCATATCCCGTTCATTACCAATCGTCAGAAATCCCCCAGCGTAAGAAAGTGATTTGGAAGACGAAAAGACGTCAAGCCCTCACCGCGCGCGAGCCACTCCCACTCCCGCCATGCCTGCTTGAACCGCGGCGCGGGGCGTGGTATGTTTCAGTGTGTTCGTATATTATTCGTCTTCCATGGCCCCCGCTACCACCAGCTACACGGCCAGCATCTCCAGGGCCAGCACCTCCAGGGCCACCATCACCCTTCCCACGACCGCTAGAAGGACCGGTGGAGCTGCTTTCAGGCGATGTATAGTCTGTCTCGGTGTAATACGAGTAACTCTTTTCGGATTCCTTGGAATGTCTCTTCAACCCCAGGCACACCAGGATTGCCCCGAAAATGACGCTAACGCTCAGCCATTGGAGCCATCCCCACGACGACTTCTTGGGTTTCGACGATGGAGGACGGCCCCCGTACCAGCCTCCATGGGCACCGCCGCCGATATGAGAGCCTGAATCCGTAAAGGACGATTCGGAATACACCGATGGCTTGTGACGACCACCGCCAAAGAGGCCTCGAACGCGGCTGGCGAGACTTCCGACGCAGAAACAGAAGCAGAGCAAGAGCAGAACGAACGCCCCTGCGAGCGAGCCGATGACGATACCTGCAATCGCACCGCCGCTGAGTCCCCCACCGCCCTTGGTAATTGGGACCAGTGTGCTCCCGTCAGTGCTGATCGCTGGGATGAATCCGGTCGTTTTGGTCGGACGGTCTGTAGCCGTGACGGTCACGCCGCTGGTCGGTCTCACGGGCGGGCTGGGTGACGGGAACGGGGAGCTTCCTCCTTCAATGCATACCCCTTTCCCATTACACGACTGTGCTGCCGTACAGCAGATATCTCCACACGGAGACTCCCCCAGGGAGGCATCGCATTGGGCGTTTCCAGGCGAGGTCGGGAAGACGTAGCGACTGCCGGTCGAAGTGACCACCACCAGGTCCGTTTGCGTAACGACAGTTGTGAAATACTCCCACTGGCCACCGCTCTCCGCCTGTTCGGCGTTGGTTCTGCATGCAGCCTGGCCGTTGGAGTCCGTATAGCACTGCTGCGACGGTTCACAGCAGACCTGTCCATAGAAGCCACAGGGATTGGCGCAGTCGCGATTTATTAGGATATTGTTATGTGGTGCCGGCGTGGGAAACGGCGAAGCGTGTATCGATAGAAAAGGTGTCGTAGCAAGGAGCGCAAGGAGGGACGAGCAGATTGAGCGCCGCATTGTGTAGGAACGAGTATGTGTGGTATGTATAATAAACGACAAAAGACATCCAAAAGAGCAGATCAGAGATTTGCCAAAACACAGATCAAGCACACAGCGCGATTGGCGCCGGCGACGCTGTGTTGTGAGAGCTCCCAAGCTCCCGTTGCTGGGGAGAGCGCTGCAAAGGAGTCGAGGCTGCGATTGGTAACAACACAGCAATCTCTCAAAGTCGGACGACAAGAGCAGTCAAAGAGCGATGATTCCAGGAAAGATGAAGATGAAAGAGAAAGAATTCGCATCTGCAGAGTCAACAGGCTGGGTTTTTCACGACCGCGCAAATTCGGTGGTGGGAAAGCTCCCAGCCACCGCATTCCACGATGCCCAACCACCGGCTTTTTGCCCGGACGAAGGTTGCAGCAGGGCAGGACAGTTGGATCTCTGACACCGGGAAGATAGAAGGGAGTCAGCGGCTGGCAGGGCGTTGGAGAACGATCCTCGCCATCTCGCGCCCGTTGTGGTGATGCTGTCGATGCGGGGGATCAACGAGACACGAGATGGTGACGATCGCTCAATGTTCGCTGTACAGTGAACACTCACACACTACGCTGCAGTCATCGACCAGCAGCAACACCTGAGTATGGACAATCTTCAAATGAGAAGAATCTGCATGCTGCTGCGAATACCATTGTGCCGTCTGTCTAAACAGCCATGGCTGCTCGACCCCTTTTAAACAAAATACGTGCCTGGTCAGAGTCGCTCGCCCACAGCGGCACCGTGATGGCATATCCAACAGCAGACTCACTTCCGCCGCTCTATCTCTCCCGCGCACGCCAGGAACTAGCATCCATCGCCGCCACAATCTCACGCTTCGAGCCCGTAACCATCCTCAGTCGCCCGGAGCTGGCACCATCCCTCCTCTCACACCCGCACATCCAACACGCCGGGCCCCGCCTCTCAATCTACGAGTGCAAGGTCGACCAGTGCTGGATCCGAGACAGCGGCTGCTTCTTCGTCCAAGAGCACTCCGCCCCGCGTGCCGTGGACCTCAACTTCAACAACTGGGGCGAAAAGCACCCTGTCCCGCCACACTCCGACCGCACCCTGGCCGCACGTTTATCCGAGCTGCTGGCCATACCCCGTCTACCCAGCCCACTGACCACAGAAGGCGGCGCGCTGGAAACCGACGGCGCCGGCACGCTACTCGCCACCGAGTCCTCCATCGTCAACGACAACCGCAACCCGGGACGCACCAAGGCCGCGGTCGGGGAGCTGCTGAAGCGCACCCTGGGCGTGCGCAAGGTGATCTGGCTAAAAGGCGTCAAAGGCCAGGATACCACGGACTGCCATGTTGACGCCCTCGCGCGATTTGCGCTGGACAGGTCCGCGAACGAGGGTGCGGAGCGGCTAGTAGCAGATGTCCCGGTGCTGCTGAGTCGCCCGCACTCTTCGCGACCAGCGGCCTGGATGCGGGTCTACGAAGAAGCACGCGCCGTCCTGGAACAGGAACGGACAGCGGATGGGCGGGCAATCCGCGTGGTCGATGTGCCAGAGCCGTCCATCGGGGGGTTGATGGAGCACGACGAGGAGGATATGGTTGCCACCTATGTCAACTTCGCGTGGGTGAATGGCGGGATTGTGATGCCTTCTTTTGGGGACCGCGAGTGTGATGAAAGGGCAATACAGATCTTCCAAGCGGTCTTTCCGGGGAGGATCATTGCGCCTGTGACGATCAATGCACTTCCAATTTTGGGCGGTGGGATTCACTGCGTTACTTTGCAGGTTCCGTCGAATGGCGATCAAGCTGGCGGTATTATCGATAAAAGCAGCTCCATGTCAGTTGCTAGTAATCCACAACTTGCCTGACAGGACTAGATTAGGGATATCTGTGGAATGATGTAGCAGGATAATAATATATTGTGTAAAGATCCATACTAAAACTCCATTCCCAATCCAACACGTTGCAATACAGATTGTAGATATCCAAAGAACACCGCCGTATAATTTCCTAAAAAAATGCGCAAACTGACCAAAATATAAAAGAGATGCCCCAACAGATCCTCGCCCACTATTTAAAATTCAATTCCGTCGAGCGTAAGGTGCTTGATTCATAGTTAAAACGCATATGTTGCGCCCTCAACTGTGCGAAACTGGCACCGTTGCCAGGGAACCGGACTACTTTCTTTTCCCCATACGTCGATCTGAAATCCTCCCTCGACTCAAAGAGTGCGTCGCAAGTCAGCCGTATTCCAAAACGCTCCACCATTTCCTTGAGTTTTCCAAGAGCCTCCCAAGGGTAATGGGTCTTGCATGCACTGGTTAAGTAAAGCCTCCGGTCTAGATGGATCCGTATCTCTACCAGCGAGGATCTCTGGACGCTATCCTGTTGGACGAATTCGTAGATCCACTGCAGCTCTGCCAGTCCAAGGTCGGCGGTGGTGTTTATGAACAAGTCTCCGTAGAAGTATTCCAGCACCAGAACGCGCAGCCGTGACTGTGTTAATTTGTCGGCTGCGGTTTTGACGGGCTCCCCGAGGCCCGTGAGAGCGTGGCCTGGGACGTAGAGAACTTTCAAAGCCGGGAAATCGAAGTCGGTGATTGACCATGCACAGTACGGAGAGCCGAATGAGCGCACGGTAAGTGTTTTCAACGAATGGCGCTGTATCCTTAATGTCTCCAGCAGCCTGCCCATTTCGAAACTCCCTTGTAGGGAACTGGGATCGAATGACAGGACGAAATCTTCAAGATTTGCAATCGGCGCCAGGAACAGTTCCAAATCTTCAACTACTGTATAGGAAAACCATACAAACCTCAAGCAAGTGATTGAGGATTTGCCTCGCTCGACAACAAGAACAGAAGGCTCTTGACCGGAGTGCGACTTGATAGGATGGTCACGTACCGCTAGGCTTGTACTTGTTGGCGGTATCTCAGAAGCAAGTCGCGGAAGTTGTACTTGGAAGCTAAGGCCGTGCAATATGAGCTTACGAAGCCGGGCTGTCTGGATAAAACGGAACCATCCTAGCCAATATATCGGAGATTCACAGTTGAGCTCAACCGTCCGCAGACCCTTGAATAATTTCAAGTTTGAATCAAGGGGTTCCCAAAGAAACTCGACGAAAGGATGCTTGACGACCAAGTGCTTGCAATACTTGAGCAGCTCAGGTCTCAGGCCATGCCCCAAGTCCAAGCAACCGGCCCTGCGGCTTTGGGGTACAATGCCCAACTGGATCTTCCGATAGAGATATGGAGTTGCCAGATCATACAGTCTTCGGCATGTTAATGTCAAGGCCCAGTCACCACGAGGCTTTTGGCTCCTCCAAGCATACGGCGGGTCGATCTCGAACAGCCAGTCGAAGATCGTAAGCAAGAGTTCTGCCGGCAGGCGAGCAAGGCACATCGACGTCTCGTCGGTCACTGATCCCATACTGGCTATATGAGGAAAGCGTATGTTTCAGTAGAAGCTGTCATTCAGGTTCCAGAACAAGTGAACGGGATAATTCGGTAGTGATAGCACCGATGGATAGGTGCGCGTAGCACTCTGGAGAAGGATGAAGTTGAGAGCTGGTACGGTATTTAATGGGCAAACCAACGCCGGATAAGCCATTTATATGCACGGCTCATCCCTCGAGTGGGAGAAAGCTGGATCAAGTTGGGATGCCTTTCTTTCGTTCCAAGGATCGGGCAGGCTCCGGTCTCATTCAACCATGTCTACCATGTAGGTCGAGAAGAAACAAAGCTTGGCTCGCATGATTGTTGATAAACGGAGGTTCAAATAAAGAGTATTATAAACGAGGATAAACGAAACACACCACTAGAAGCGACACTCATACATACCTGGTGTAAACGTCAGGCAGTTCCCACGCCCTATAACCCCAATATATACAGTTAATATAGACATCAATGCATCATAGACAGACATAGCCACGTAGACTTCCCTTTTTCCCTAGCTCGAGGCAACAAGCACCAAAGATTTGCCTGCTCGTTCAAGCTACCATCCCCGCAAGAGCGACTCCAAGTCCCGCCAGAATCTCGTATAGAAGTGATCGCCTTACGGAAGGCGGCGACCCGGAGTTGCCGCCAGGGAACGCGGTACAATAAGCTTCATGAAGACCACGGCAAGCCTGGCTGCTGAGCGTCATGCATATCGCCTGAGCGTCACCAGTGGGCTCGACTCCTGGTACCGTTATTCCGGCTCCTCCGCCGCCGCCCACAGTCACGCCATGGACTCCCCCCAGAGACCTTGTGCAGGCTGAATATTGCGAAACGCAGCCTGAATATGCTTGGACGCATTCTTCCGGGCTTCTGAATGTGGTCGGAATGTATACAAAGGGGAAGGGAGCGTTGGGGACGGTGCTGCCGGTGAGAGTCGGCGGGTTCGTCGTCGTTCCTGTGCCTGGCTGAGGGAACATGAACCCAGACGATGTAGTCGCAGATCCTGATTCTATACCCAATGCCGTAAGCGACTTGGTTCCGGAGGCGCAAGAAGAGGTAAGAAAACAACAAAAAAACAACAGACAAAACTGACCTGTTACGACACCGGTGCAGTCAGCCCCCGTGGGGCAACATGCGATATTGCTTGCATCGTCGCGAGAGCAGATTGTGTCTCGTTGACAGCAGGCCCCAGGCGCATTGAGAAACGCGCACGAGTTGTAGCCCGCGGGACAGCCGTTTTGGCGCTTGAGTAGCAACAGCGCTTCGCTGGGATTGCGAGCGATGATATCAGAGCCGTCGAGGAGAGGATTGTGGAATGGCGAGGTGCGATCGATGCCGGTAGCCTGCGCGAGGATCGGGAGGAGCAGCGAGAGTCCCGGCCGCATCCTTCTGATATCGACGAGGCTCTGGAGTGGGTTGCGATCAGGAATGGATTATTATCTTTTCAGAGCTGAATGCTTTAGTCTCGTATCTGGACGATTCAGTCAGTCTGTACGGAGTAGCATCCCAAAGGGTCATATAAATGGTGGCATACCGTCGCCGCTCACACATCAAAGAACGATCCGCTGAATAGCGCTTTCACAACGGGATGCGACACAAAGTGGCCAGAAAGCAGATTGTTCAGCGTGAAACATTGGAATTCGGACAATCCGTTGGTGAACTGTCAATCAGAATCCATGCCGCCGTCGAGGCCCAATGCAATCATAGCGCCGGCTGGACATCCACCAACGCATCCTTGCTGTCGCTCACTGCCATGGCAACCGTCGACTGTCAACACACCAGCAGCAGGGCTGGCCTGCTCAGCAACTGTGACTCGTCCTCGCTCTTGGACCTCTGTGGGAAGGATCCTGGGATTTACAATGAATCTGAACACTGCTACAGGGCATTGCGCCTGACGAGCTACGGCATCACCTCGTCTCTTGGATCCTTCCGGTTCATTCTGGCCATATATATCTTGCAACGAGGAGGTGGTTCAGCAGTGAATTCTATTACACATCAACGCCAGTGATTCGTCCAGGCAGGACGGTACATGCAGTCGATTCCCTGCAAGCCATTGGCCTTTGCGACGTCGAAGGTTCTTCCCCGCCGGCAATGTGCCAATGTCCCAGAAGACGTGCATTTCTTCTCGCGCATCGAGACATCGAGGTTAGTTCGCGCTGGAATCAGTGGCGGTCAAGCTCTTTTGGACTTTTGAAGAGTGATCTGAGTTGTCCTTCCAATGGCGTACGATCAAGCCCTCAGTGATACCGAATCGGAGCAGTCTCCTCGAGAGATTCCCGTCGTCGACTTTGCCAGCTGGAGACCCGACAGCTCGTTGCAGGAGCGTATGAAGGTGGCCGTGGAAATCGTATCGGCATGCAGAGAGGTTGGCTTTGTCTATATCCTCAACCACGGCATTCCCTCTGAGAGATTGGCTGAAGCCTTTGCTTGGTCGGAGAAATTCTTTCATCTCTCGTCGGACGAGAAACTAAAAGCACCTCACCCAAGCGGCCCTTCTGTCCATCGGGGATATTCAAGCCCAGGGTTAGAGAAAGTGTCCCAGGCGACGAGTGACAGGGACGATCCTGAACTTGCGAGAAAGTTGCGAGAGGTAGCTGACTACAAGGTGATCGCACACTCTTATTTGTTTTGATAAGTGCTACGGTCTAATGCCTGATCGTGAAATAACTCATATGCCCCCGTGAATAGGAAAGCTACGATATAGGGAGTGATGACAATCAGGATCAACCCAATGTGTGGATTCCCGAACAAGTGCTTCCGGGATTCCGAAAATTCATGACTGATTTTTACTGGGATTGCTTCAAAGTAGGCCAGAATATTATGAGGGCAATTGCTCTGGGAATCGGCTTGGAAGACGAAGACTATCTACTGCAGTTTCACTCTGGCCACAATAACCAATTGCGGCTGCTGCACTACCCTCCCCTCCCGGCATCCTGGCTGGAAGACCAAAAGTATGCGCGAATGCCGTCTCATACGGATTGGAGCACCATTACTTTCTTGTTCCAAGATGAGTGCGGGGGACTGGAGGCCGAAGATATCAACAAAAAGGGCTATTATATGCCCGCAACGCCAATCAAAGATGCGATCGTAATGAATGTTGGCGACCTTTTACAAAGATGGAGCAACGGTATCGTTACACACCCCTCTCCCTCTTCCCTCATCATGAGCTGTCTCGTCTCACCAGCTATCTAGATCACCTTCGGTCTACATTTCATCGTGTTACGCTACCGCCTCTCTCTGACCGCTACGAGGGCTCTGATCGTATGGTGCGTGAACGGTATTCCATTCCTTACTTCATCGCTCCGGACCCGACATCTGTTATCAAATGCCTTCCTGCGTGCGTGAGTGAAGAGAAGCCCGCGAGCTATCTCCCGATCACCCAGCGCGATTACAATCGGCTTCGTTCATCAACCCATTATGAAAGCCTGGCCACTGAAGCTGGGAGTGGATATGCGTATTAAATTTGGGCATAGGTTGGACATGTTGCCTATGCGGGAAGAGCAGTGGGGATGAATCCGCAGGATGCCCTTTGACGTTTATTGAATAGTGTGTTATGAAGATATGATAATAATTGGTGAATGGGCCCGGTGTGATGCTATACTCGCCTCAAGACCAAAGCAAACCTGGTATATATTCTGGAAAGATGGCAAATTATTAGGTAGAAAATATTCATTCCTTCATTCTTCCACGGTATGCTCGTGATGCATAGGTTGCAGGGCCTGGGCTTGGGGGTGAGGCTTGGCTTCTAGGGGCCCGCTGGGGCCTAACCAGCCGAAGCCTAGCCCCCTAGAGAAGCCCGAAACTCAGCTGTTCTGCTCGTTTCTGAAATCTCAAGGTAGAGCCACCACAGCACCGCTTTCAAAGTAGGTAGGCCTCCAAAAATGCAACAATGGCATCAATACCTTCTGGCTCCTTGATCCAGTGTCCTTCATTCTCCGCGCCAGTGTACTCCTTCCACTCCACCTTCAATCCCAGCTTTGTCAGATTTCTACGTGCCTGTCGGCCCAATTCAAAGTCTACCCACGCGTCATCGGTTCCGTGCAGTAGCAGCATAGGCGTAGACAGCATGGCCTTCGTCTCTGCTACACTAACCTCAATTTCTTCGCACCGCAGTAGGCCGGGAAGGGACTTTGAAACAAGAGATCCGGGAGTCTCTGCAGTACCATGACCCTCCGACAGCTGCAAATCTTCCATCTTGTCCGCCAACGGGAGCCATCCACACATTCCCAAAAAAGCGCCAATCCTTCCATCGACTCGTCCCCGCGAGCAGAGCAACGCCCACAACGCCGTCGCCATACCCTGGCTGATACCACCAAGGACAACCTTCTCGGACTTCCCTCCAAGAAGATTGATTTCTCGGCCCAGAACATCCAGGATGTATCGCGTTGACTCCCTGAGGCCGTCCAGTTGAAGTTCTTGTTGCTCAGAGGGATCGGACAGCGAGTACACGTCAAACCAAGCGGTTAATTCTTCCTTGAAAACTGAACTCCATAGGTCTCGGGACGTTGGGAATACCCATCGACACCCAGGGAAATGGGCGGCCAGGTTTTTAGTCTCGGAAGATTTGGAGTCGAATAGGTCTTTAGCGAATTCGACGCCATTGCTTGAGCGGCCGTGTAGAAGGATGATAGTATGCATGTGGGCACCGTTTGGCTCGACGATATGGAGTGGAGGAAAAGACATTCCTTCGGACCTTTTCAGGCTGGATTTCGGCAAATAACCAGTCAGATTTGCAGCGAAGAAGCGGCAATCTAACCTGTGGAGGAAATATTGTTGATGAAGGTAGGCAACTATCCTGCAAGCGACGAGACTCATTCCCCCCGCCTAGTTAGTTAACTAACTAGCTGGTCAGTGAAATCCGTCGCACTCGTCAGTAGCCAGGCCCCCTGTAGACTCGAAAACCAGCGTATAACTACGGCCCAACTACACGGAGCGTACCTGGCCTCGTCCATGGCCTAACAAGGAGACACAGGGTCCTAGAAACGACTTTTGATCAAGCTCTGCTTCTATAACCTGCTGACTCTTCTCTTGAGGCACCCTAAAGGAACCCACAAAGGGACTCTTTCTCCAAAGAAACCCAAGAAAGAGCAATGAGTTAAAGATGGGGATCATACCATCTCACCAAAGCTCATGCAAAGAATACACAAGTATGTGCCAAATAATGCAAGTCATGTATATCTCCTCAAATCATGATTCAGTCCTTTTGAGGAAAATACCTTCCAAGCCCAGCCGGACACCCTTCCTTACTTATGTCTCAGCCTGGACCACAGGCAGCAACAACTGGGGGCGATGGCTAGGTTCGAGCCTTCATTGCTTTGTAACACCAATAAATTCCTCTTTGGTCATCTTCCCGCTGTCGACAAGTGCTTTATCCTCCTCTTTCTTCTCCAACTCCTTATCATACTCATCCAACTCTCTGTGTTTCCGCATCTCAAATTCCTCGAGCTCTGCCTTGCTGATTTTATTTTCCCTCGTCGTCCAATCAGTGCCAAAGTGTTGGCGCAGCTGGGTGAAAGGAAAGCTGTGATGATCATTGAAACCAGATAAAATCAACATGTGCAGCCACATTGCCCCAGTAGTTTGTGACCACCTGACAAGACTGGAGAGCTCTCTGCTGTCTTCATGTCCTTTTGCCTCCTCTTCCTCTAGAACACGTATGAAGATTTCCAAGTATCTGAAATAGCGGCTGGCCACCTTGGGTGGCTTGTCATCCTCACAATCCCACAAGCTGTTAACTGGTCTGTCTTGAAGAAGCCACCATGGTGCTGAGCCAAACAGTTGGGCAGGTCCAATATATGAGCACTCAAGATCAACAACCCCTACAACAGTAAGATCATCCTTGCTCTTGACAATGAGGTTTGCTAAGCCAAGGTCATCACAAATCAACTTGAACTTGCCATGGTCATAGTCTGCATGGATCAGGTCACAAAGAAAATCTTTTAGAGCACTGAATGCAACATATTTTCTTTGTGCATTGTAGCAGCCAACAGTTGAATTTGGTTGCTGAAGAAGCTGCTCCCAATCCTGGCCAATCACATACTGAAAATATTCAGTTGTTGTCTTAAATCTCTGATGTTGGTCACCTATGGATTAATGATTTAGCAAAAAATCTCAATTGGTAGGGAATTTGAGGGAAAAGAAAAGCAAGATGACCTGCCGAATGTGTTGACTCCCCCATTTTGTAGGATCGTGTGTGCCTTGAATGTTAACGGACGCGTTGGTGTAATGCTCTGGGATTTGGAATCTGGCCATGGCAGGCTTCCAATACAGTCGAAATCGAGCTTGAAAAGCTGAAGTAAATAATTTGCCATTTGCCGGTAGATAACTTCAATGTCATTCTCGTCGATATCCTCTCTTATGAGTCTGGTAGATGCATTGGGGTCCGACAATAGGTCGCTGAGGCTCACACCATCAATGAAGCTCATCATGATGAATGGCCCCAGTCCAAGTCGGTTGCTCGCAGCAGGCCCCCATGCGTGTACTCTTGGGACCGGGACTGTAGTTCTCTTGTGGATAAGATCCAGTGTAGCTACCTCCATGGCAACCTTCTCATCACTGTATTCATCAGAAACCATCCCTACACACGGAAAACGAACCATCCAAGGAGTGCCATCACTAAACACCATTTTCATGCCAGCATTAAATGCACCATTGTAGAATGTCCCATCAAGGTGACAAGGAAGATTGTCTGGATGGAATGTTGACACCCAGGGGCAAAGCTGGCCTGTTCCGTGGGTTTTGTTGATTTTGTCAACCCAGAGTTCGCCCTGCATCTCATGGATAAGGTCAACCAGCGCGTTTGTGTCCATTACGCTGGACGAATGGTGATATATAGGCGTTGCATGCTCCGTATGTACACTGGAGAATCGATATCAATGACAAAGTAAAGATGACCAAGAGAAATAAGAGATTGCAGGCACCACGGTTTGTGGGTTTGATTCCACGGAGAGGTCATCACAATGCTTCTGTGCTTTCTTGGCCTAGCGCACATGGTGTGCCCGGTGCCCTTGGGATTCTCAGACTGTGATGTACTTGGTTAACAAGGACAACTTCAATGATATTCTGCAACAATTTCTTGCAGATACAGGTTCTCTACTATAGCTGAAATGGGTTGAAAACATTAAATCATTTCATTAGTGACCTGCAGTCCCCTATGCCATTCTGCAAAAACCTGCGAATTTTACTATGAAGCATGATACAGAGGTGCCGATACATTGCATGGTGGTTGACAACAGTAACGGTATAATAGAAAAGGTTCCAAGGTCGGCGGACAATTGACTGTTTCCAAAAGCGCAAAGAGCCCATTCCCTTCACATTCAACATCTACCATTTCCCTTAGCTCGCAGCTTGCTTAGTTCCGTTCTCCATCTTCGCAGCGGAGCCGGGACCAGGGAACTCCTCCAATTTCAAACCGATAATGCTATCTTCCAAGCTCTCAAGAGTTGGTCTTATCACGTGCGCCAATTTGCAAGGATGATTGCTGCTGTAGGAGCCCCTTGTGGTCCAATCCGGAGTCGTGATATCATCAAGGCTATCGGTCAAAGCGGCCAGTTGTAGCCCGGCAAAAGGTCTACTTGGTCGCGGGAACAGTTTCAGGCCGCACATATGTTTGGTCAAGGCGCCTAGCATCATGCAGGAGCACGCGAGAGAGCATCGATTCTTTGATTGGAAGTCATCAAAAAGTCCATAAAGGTATTCCACGATTCGCTCGATTGCCTCTTCTCTCTGCTCATTCATCTGATCTATTTGAAATTGTTAGCCCCGGAGTAGACTTGAGCGCGCTCCTTTTGTTTCTTGAAAGGCTTACTTATTACAATATCAGGAAGAGGAAACTCCAAGGCAGTAATAGGTCCACTACTTTTCCGTATGGCTAGCCTTGTCCAATTCTGGAATTTCGGCCGGCGAAAAACATAGTTGATCCAGATACAGAGTACTGTGTCTCTTGAAAACTGTGCTGGGAGCGTGCCTAGCTGCGCGATCCAAAACTCGACAAAAATCCCCATCACTTCGCCGCACTCGAAGTAGTCAACAAGAGATGCCATCTCGGCTATTGTCTCAAGGGGAGCTTTGCGCGGAACTTCTTTCGTCCGACCGTGGATGATACGCATCAAAATCAGGAAGGATTCAGGTTTCCAACCTTCCTCGCTGATTTCCAGAGGCTGGCCGTTGCCGAGAGATTGGCCTTCCTTCCATCCGCCTGTGAACATTCGTTTAAAGTACAGCGAGGCGAGGGAGAGATGTTTTGAAGAGAGCCGAAAGCGGGTTGTTTTATATATTGACTCTGCGACTTCTTGCGGCGCTTCAACTTTCGGAGTTTCGTCTTTTGGTGCCTCAGCCTTGCTCTCATCGTCGCCGTCGCTTTTACCGTCACCCTCACCGTCGCCCGTGGGTTTGGCAGCTGTAGCGTCTTCAGCTTTTGGCTCTTCGGTTCGCAGCACAAGCAGGACATCGCCGTCCGGATCGAGCTCGTAGTACTCTGGCTCCATGATTCCTCAATTGATTGACTTGTGTTTGATTCCGAAAGGCTGTGGTGGAAGAGGAAACTGGAGGGGGTTTATTTGGCGGCGCATAATGGCGAGAGCTCACTGGTCAACTCGGGAGCCTCGTGTTGGGAGGCATTAGTGCATTTTGCTTGCGAGCTTTGAAAGATGAGATATTTTGCGCCAAAGAAAGTGGCGGCTAACTAATGCAAGGGACGTTGTGGTGATTCAGTCGACGTCTCATATGTAGTAGTGGTCGGATGAGGTCGTTGCCAGCCACAACATCGCACATCGGGCGACGGGAGCTTTCATCTGGTGGCAGGTGGTCGAGGTTTGGGCTTTGAAAAAAAGCAAAAATAAAATAAAAATCAAATGACAAAAGTCCATGGATTCGCAGCTCACCCCAGCTAACTTGTCAGTTAGGAGCGGGATAAATATAGATCTGAAGCGAGGCAAATACGAAAGCGCAGTCCAGATTCAATCTGCACCATGCCTGTTGTGATAAGAACATTGCCGCTTTTATAGGATATCAAAGCCCGCATTTTGGTTAGTATGTAGTTCCACTGCCTGCAGGAGGAACACGACCCGATGTCAGTAACCACAGTACTCATCATCAATGGTGCACCTTGTTTTAATAATTGCTGTCCTAATGTGCTTCATCCGCAGATCACCGGCTCAAGGATTCAGGGCATTAGCACCTAGCTAGTAGTTTGCTTCTGGCTTTGTTGCAGTCATACACCATTGAGCGATTCCAGTGGATGAAGCAGATGATGACTATGTCAAGTCTGTGATGTGCCATATCTCGGCGGCGCAAATATATAGGTTATCTTGTGCTATTATCAATAAAGCGGATGACGTACCAGGTTGTTGTTGGTCCTATTCTAATGACCTTGACTCCGTGCAGAGTGCCTGTGCGCCGTGCTTTGGCTTCTTCCAATGAGAGATATATTGCAATGAGTTTTCTTTCGTTCTCTTCTGTAGAGGTTCGCGGAAGGATTGGGAGGCGGACGTTTTGTTCTGTTAGCGGAGACAATTGAAGCCCATACTTGCTGGGTATCATTGTTGTGAGATTGCCCTTTTCAACCCGGTTCCAAGCCATGTAATCTCAAGTTTGCTCAGGCAGTTATCCCTGTTGTTTGTGAGTTCGATGCTTGTAGTGCCGGTTGACTGCCGTGATAGAATCAATGCCCTTTTCGCTTGCCAGTATATTTCCACGCCTTGTGTCGGGTCATGGCAGGCATGTTTTCTTGAAGTGTATAAATTCGCGGTTCCCATGCCAATCTTATAAAAAGAGAAAGCAAAGGTGTGATTAGTGAAAGCCCAGCTCTATTTGACAGCCCAGGTTTTAGCCAAAGCGTGCGTGCTGGTGACACTTTGCAATCAGAGTAGATCCTGCCAGGCTGCGCAACTTCGGATTCTCTACGCAAATCGCAAGCAGTTTCGGGTGCGCCTTTGGTCTAGCGTTTAGTGGTAGATAGCCAGAATCACACTTCGTTCCGGCCGCTATCTCGTTCATCACCGCTTCCAGATGTCCAATGCCGGTCTGTATGGGATATCCACGAGAACCGGGCGTTTCCGTACAGGTGCCAGGACGCATTATGTGAGACATTCCATAGCGTTACTGACCAGTCAGAATCGAGGGGGAGATCGCGAGCGATGATATTGGACAGAGCCATCGAAAGAAACCAGATTTGAAGAGACAAAGCTCATGTAGGGGTTGGTCGCCGTTCTGCATCGGACAGGCTGTCCCGGAGCAAAGCAACAGGATGATGCCTTTGCATTTGCATATGCGCCGGTATCTAGCCTGTTGGCGCCAGCTCAACACTGCATTCAGGCCGTCGGACGGGTATCTTGACGGCAAGCTGCTTCCAAGGGCCATGATGGGAGGATCTCGTCTAATCACTGACTGGAAGAATGCATCTTTAGCAAAGCGTGGATGTCCACTGGAGTTGGACTCTTCCAGAGTTCCCACCGCGCCCTGTCAAGAACTCTCCAACCTCTTGAGTTACATCCTGGTGAAGCCTATTTATTGACCAACTAGTTAACGATAAATGCAGAAAATACGATGCCGGTTATGACGACATGATCCCGACCTCGTCAATTGTCAAATCTAGCTGCTGTGAACAGAATGTGCCCGAGAAGCCTTTTGTGACGGAACCAGAAAAGTCGACTTGCCCGACATCGAGTGTCTTTGGGATATAAAGAATAACTCGCTGCTGTAACTAACTCTGCTCGCACATCAAGCGGGCAAGCATGTCTGATGGCTCCGCTTCCGGTGTGCAGTTGAAGAGTCCCTGCGGTTAGGCCCCTTCGTCTGGCTTCTCATCTTTCAACTCTTCATAACTAACCGATTGCTGTGCAACAGTTTCGCTCTCCAAACCCTCCTTCCACTTCGCTGCAGGCCTGTTCTCCGGCCTCACCTCCTCCATCCTCCTTCAACCCGCAGACCTCCTCAAGACCCGTGTCCAGCAATCGCGGCAAACAGCGGCCCTCCTGCCGACAATCCGCACCATCCTAGCCTCACCACACCCTATCCGCGGTCTATGGCGCGGAACACTACCTTCTGCGCTCAGGACCGGCTTCGGCTCCGCGCTGTACTTTACCAGCTTGAATACCTTGAGAACCGCAGTCGCCGCGAGCGGTCCCGGCTACCTCCTCCAAGGCGACAATGGCGATAGCCAAAAGCCCACAAACACAAACGCAAGGACATCATCAGCCCTGCCCAAGCTCTCGCACACGGCCAACCTCATCACCGGCGCCGTCGCCCGCGTCTCCGCCGGCTTCGTCATGATGCCCGTCACCGTCCTCAAAGTCCGCTACGAATCCGACTACTACGCCTACCGCAGCCTCTGGAGCGCCGCAACCGACATTGTCCGCCACGAGGGGTTCAGAGGCCTATTCTCCGGCTTCGGAGCCACCGCCATCCGCGACGCTCCCTACGCAGGCCTCTACGTGGTCTTCTACGAACAGTCCAAACGGAACCTCGCCACGCTCCTCGCGCCCCCCGCCTCCCCGTCCGCCGACGCACCGCGCGCTCCGACCTCGACGGCCACGATCAATTTCATCTCCGGCGCCCTGGCCGCGGGTCTGGCGACCACACTCACCAATCCGTTCGATGTGGTCAAGACGCGCGTCCAGCTCATGCCGCACAAGTACAGAAACATGATGCGCGCGACCAGGCTGATGCTCCGTGAGGACGGGGTGAGGAGCTTGTTTGGCGGGCTGGGGTTGCGCATGGGGAGGAAGGCGTTGAGCTCGGCGCTGGCGTGGACGGTGTATGAGGAGTTGATCATGTGGGCGGATAAGCGGTGGGCGGAGGAGTAGAGATATATTAGACGGGGTTAGAAAAAAAAAGACAAAAAGCGGGTGTTGTGATATGTTGGGGGCGTAGGGAGTTGGGAAAATCTCCTTTTGGCTGTAGACGGGCTGCGATTTTTCATTTTTCCCAGGGTCTTTTTCACGGATTTCAAAAATATGGAAAGTTGATGCTCTGTACGATTCATGTGTACAATAGGATATTTTGGTATAACCTTGAATGTAGAACCACTCCATCTTGCAAAGTACCATTGAATTATCTGTATCATTATCTGCGCGTGCTGTCTCGCATAGTCTAGGGAGTATAAGTAGGCCCAACGCAAAAAGAATCCATAGATGGCTACTCCATAGGTGCGATATAGATAACATCCATATCAAGAATCATCAGACATAACATCATTTATCATCATCTTCTTTTGTGAAAAGACCAACAAATAGCAAAAACGGAAATTCAAAAAGGAATGGAGATGTGTGTCGACGCCACCATCAGAGCTCGATCCCAAAATTAAAGCCACAAAAAAGCAAGCGCACTGATAAGACTGTAGAAAGGCTCAATGTGACGGAAATCAAAGGAGGGGTGGTGTCATAAAAAGGGAATCAAAAAGCGCAGGGCACATCGTATGCCTAGTGATGTTAGAACTGCGAGCATGCTTGTTCACACTTTTCCTCCTCACAGAATCATCTGATGACAGGACATTTTTTACCTTTCTTTCTGACCAAAAACAACTTGTCCTTTTTCTTATCAGGAATCTTCAGCTCAACAAACTCTGTCTCCACAGGCCCGGCGGTGATGCCCATTCGAAGCCGCCGGGTGTGCTCGAAGAGTTCTTGCTGGAAGCTCTCGTCAATCCAGCGGTGGATGAGGATGTAGTCCGCGTCATCCTATAAAGGTAGTAGGTAAATGTTAGCTTCGGTGCATTGCATTGGGGAAACGGGCACAACGGATTGAAAAGGGAGAGGGGAGGAGATGATACATACCGGATCCCATTCCCACGGCAGACTGTACATGTTAAGTGTGGTAGGCGTGATATAGCGACGATGGACCTGAGAATGCGAGACATGGGTGAGTACGGGTGTTCAGCAACACCGGTTAATTAAATAGAGCTCACCTTGACAAAGGGCTCCTCTGATTCGGTCTCTTTCTTTTGGAGTTCCTTGCTTGGCTCCTTTTCCTTGGGATGTAGAAACTCGTGTGCCTGTTCCTCCCGACATTCCATGGTCAGCGAATAGTTGTCGCAGCCGCTCCTGGAATGCCTTTTCCGCCTCCTCTTCTTCCTGCGTCGTTTCAATTCCTTTTCCCATTCCCTCTTTTTATACTCCGCTATCGCATCATCCTTCAATTTCTTTTCGGCTTGGTGCCGCTCCAGCTCTCCGGCTTCTCCTGTGGTGGACACCTTCTATTTTCTCGCGAAGCTTCCGCTCCTTCTTTTTCTTCTGTTTCCTCCTCCTCCAGGGCCTTTAATTTTGCTATCATGAATGCGTCGGTGACATGTCGCTTGTTGGCTTCGTCCTGTTTGAGCTGCCGAAGCTGCTCGTGAGCAAGTTCGTTCTCAATCTCTTCACGAGTCCAGCATGCATCTCGAGCCCCTCTCCTATCCCGACTCCGACTCCGGCTCCGGCTGCTGCTTCGATCCCGAGACCGCTGGCGATTGTCTCTGCTATAATCCCGCACCCGCTCCCAGACCTCTTGCTCCACTTCTCTCTCGCGCATCATCTTGTTCCATCGCTTTTTTCGGCGGCGAAACGAATCTTCTTCTCTCTCTAATTCATCCCAGTGCCTTTCCGCTATAAGTTCTTGAATCCGTTGTTCCTGTGCCTTGAGCTTTGCCGCGAGGTCAGCTATTTCAATATCACGCACACGGTCCCGTTCTCTATCCCGATCTCTATCCTTTTCCTTCTCCCTTTCCTTCTCCTTCTCCTTTTCCTTCTCTTTTTCCCTTTCCCTCTCCTTTTCTCTTTCCCGCTCGCGCTCGCGCTCCCGCTCTAGGAGCTCCCGCGCAAGCTTCTCCCGACGAAGTCGCCGCCGAGCACGAACAAGGTCATCATCGTCATCATTCCAATCATCGGGGTCCCGCCGACGAGACAGTGATCTCGCACGGGATTGAGCGCGACGTGGGGGCTTAACTGGTATTTTATTGCTGATGTAGTTGATGATTGGCGGTTCCGAGCGGCGATCACCAACAGAAGCTGCCCTGGAGCGGCCATCGCGGGGTTTGAGGAAGTCACGGTGGTGTCCTCGGGGGCGGTAATGAATACGAAATTCGTTCGGGTCCGCGGAGTCCATGGAATCTGACTCTGTGCTAGAGTCTGTACACCAGCGGCCACGCGGCATGATTGGCTATTTCTGTGTGCTGCAACTTCTTCGAGATTTTTGAAAAAGCCGTAAGAAAGGTGTGCAGTAGTCAAGTGGCAACGTAAACAGTCTCTGGCCCTTTTTCCCGAGATAGAAGAAAGTAAGAAAGGGGATGAAGACAAATCGGCCGACTCGTAGCTTTGATCAGTGTTGGTAGTGGGATATTAATTATGCATCAAAGGCCGCTCGACACCAGGATTAAACCAGACGGAAGTCAACGTAGGAGCCGTTTCTAATAGATCTGTGGGTGGAAATGATTTGACCAAGGTGTTCCTTCAGGTCTCTTTGACCGCTTTGGGCGTCCTGTGGCACCTGGCGAGATGTTGAGGTTGAAGGTGAGGGAGGAGAAGCGTCTCGTTTAAAATGGGACAGCGGGTGGGCAAAGGGGTCCTCACGACGAGCCGCTGCAAGGATCCTTGACATGCAAAAGTCGGGATAACGCCGCTGGTTGACTGGACGGAGCAATCCACTCCCAGGACAGAGGGAGGATAGTTAGCGGGGCTGGGACTGAGCGATAGGGCAGCGCTGTTAGCGCCGAAGGGATGCCAGGTTCTGCGACCTCTGGAAGAGAATCAAACGGGTAATTGGGCAGCTATTCCAGGAATCCGTTGTCGCCGTGGAATCAATTCGTTTGAAACGGCCGTGCAAAGGGAAGCGGTTCGTTGGTCGGGTTGGCTCTCAGAGAAGGGATCCCCCGCGTTGAATCCTGGGTGTCTCCGTCACTATTTTGGCAGCGCCGCTCACAAGTCATGAGGAAAGGCCGCTTTGTGGGTGTGAGTGGGCGTCCATCCCTGTCACGGCATTCCAGCGTGGGCTGCAAGACCGTCTCGAAGAGTGCGTTGCAATAAGTCAAGACCCGTCCAGCCTCCCAATCATATCGTTTCTCACGACTGCTGATCACAAACCCAGAAGTCATCTGAACATCGGCTTATCATGGTCATCCATCCCATCACCGTCCCTCTCCTTTCTTTGTAAGGCCTAGCTTTCGTCCACGGCGTAAAGGATGTTGTGGCGGCTATTTTTGCGGTGTCGAAAGGGTGACTGTGCCGCCGGAACGTCATCTGGGCGACTGACAACCGACGGGGGAGCATGCAGGCAGCTGCGTATCTGCCCAGGAGGTGCTCAGGCGTTGTGCCTCTGGGGCCTTTGGGTGCATCTGGACGCCCAACTGGACGGCGTTAAAGCTGGTCTGGATGAAGCGCCGTCATTGATCTTCTCCAGCCAAAAGTGTTCCTTGATAGCTTGTTCAAAGCCCAGATCTCCTTTATCTGGCATGCGTGTGTGTTGCTGCCCAAGTTGCTCCGTGACTTGTTCGAAAATCTGCTTTTCTTTTAATGGGCTGTGATGGCAGTTCTCTCGTTTCCGTCAGAAAAGCCATGTTTTGCGGAGGGAAAAAAATAAAAGAAACGAAAAAACCTGCTCCCCGCGGGATTCGAACTCACCACCTTTGGCCGTTTTGGGCGGTACTTAGGGCTTCGACAGACCTGGGCATCAAAGGCCAGCTCTGCTGCCAACGAGCAGATCTAAATGCTTGAAATGCATCGCTGAATACCGGGCGCAATTCTTGGGCAATTTGGAAATGGACAGCGGGATCTGAAAGAGGAAGAGCAAAAAAATGATTTTCGGTTGTCAACCCGCCTTCCCAACCGCCCCGAAGAAGGGTTTGCCCTGAGGTTGCATTTCCGAACGCACACACCCAGCGAAGGGGGGAGTGAGGCTTGAGGCGCTCGTTGCTGTCGGCACTTGAAGTACCAGGCAGCGAGTTCGTACCTGTCACCCCATGACCGCTCGGCCACCCAGGTGTATGAGTTAAAAGCCCTGACCTTCTGCTCCCTATGAACCTTTATTTCAAAGCAGGACAGTTTGCACCACGCCGGTCTATGTTTGCTTGCTCCATGCAGCCAGCGCCGGGATATCGAGCTTCCCCTTCGTCGATGCGAATATATGTTGATTAGCACCAGCGCCAGGACAGTGTATATGATAGCTTGGTTTTACTTGATAATAATATATCCCTGATCCCCATACATGCTAGGAACCCTGTCGAACATGTTTTATCAACCCCAAAACCATGAATAGCTTGAGGGATCTCGATACATCCATACTTGAGAGTTGATCACAGCTCTTGCCTCGAGCTCTATTACAACAACGTAGCCCCAGCCAACGCACCAAACAGTCACAGCACCGATCATGTCAAACGGCAGCTTCGTCCATCACCAGCCCATATCCAGCAACTGCCACCCATTTCTATTCTTATGACTCACCCAGAACTTCTCCCAAAGCTTCCCTTCCCGCAGCTATCCTTGATCAAATAACATGCTCATTCATTCATTAATACTACTAAAAAAGACAACTTTTTTCCATCAATCAGAACCGCGTCATGACCTTCCCCCAGTGCGAAATATCTGCTCAATCTGGTTCTGACTGTTCTTGAACGTCGTCTCCAAATAATGCAGCCTCTTCTCCAGATTCGTGATATCCGTCTTCAGCCCCTTCTGCTCGTTCGATAACCGCATGTTGACCTTCTCCATAGGTGTCGCGACGAACCTAAAACGCGCCATGCAAAACATCATTAGCGTCAAGACAGTTTTGCGAAAAGAGAGCTCCAACCAGCCGCGGGAAAACATTATGGGGAAACAGCACGCACATTTTGCCCACGCCCTCGTATACATTCGTGCCCTTGGGGACTTGACCAATCTCGTTCGACGTCAGTTCAAGCAGGCGCATATCTCGCTGCTTGGATGTGATTTGGGACTTGACGAGGCCGATCTGCTGCTGGGACGCGATGGCCTGGGCTTCGATCTCTTGGACGAGCTATTCATAGAAGGCGGGACGTAAGATATCAGCACGGGACCTGGTACAGCTTTGGGGGACTGGTTCCCGACGGTAGGGGGAGCCGCGTTTCATGTTTACCCTGTTGACGCACCTTTTGGAGAGCTTGATTGGGGATCGACATTTTGAGTTTTGATGCAGGGTAAGCGGGCGATTAAGTGATGAAGAGGATTTTACAGGATGGCTATAATTGGAGCATGAAACTGAAGGGCTTCCGTCACGTTCCGTGAAGCACTGCGCAAAGAGCTGCTCCTTGAATGTCTACTGCTGCTGGGGATGCGATGAGGTGATGTCAAGTCAAGAGGGAAGCTCAAAGGAGAATCTAATTGGTTAGAAAGAAGATTTTGGATAAATGAAAGATCCAGTTTGGCACTAGGTTTACCTAATCCTTGGCATCTGATGCAGTTGAGGTTTGTCTGGTTTGTCTAGTTTGTTTCGTTTGCTCGGGCCGACTTCCCAAAAAGAACTCGCTTTGATTCTTCGAGTTTGATATCCTTGTCCTCAGTCCCGGTATCAAAGCCGGCTGCACCCCATGGCTCTTTCAGCAGTAATCTCTGAAAGCTCGACAACAAATCCTTTGTTCCTTGATTGAATGCTGGGCCACAATATTGCCAGTTTCCCATCTGCCTCGATCTGCCGGCTTAATTGCCCAAAGAAGCCCGAACTCCCGTTGGGTACAATGAATGATTTCGCTCTGGCTGCTTTGTTCGCAGGTGCACGGTGACCCAGCATTTCGCATATGACTGTTATGTCGGTCAGTAACACTGGTGGCAAAATGATCCAATCCTGCACCGTCACGAGTCTTCAGCGCCGTGGCAAAGGAGAATTCTGCTGGTGGATTTTTTGTGAACCCGAGCCGTGGGACGTATGAAGTCTGTAGGACATGTTCCTGAACGCAGAGAATTCCCCCTCGCATTGTCTGCGTACCTGAGAGGGGTTCGTTTGCCTCTTTATTGTTTCCCTTGGGCGAATGCGGGGAACACTGAGGGAATATCCGACCAAATGGAACGAGGATGAGGAGAATGGCCTGCTGGTAAACCATGGATCTCCGGCAATGCATACCTCAAGTCCACGGCGACCCTTGACCACGTCCATGGAAATCGCAGCAGCCATCGTCCACTTCGGCCCGGTCTTCAGCGCCTGCAGGCAGGAAACATATGTGTTAGTCAGCAGTGGGCTGGTCTTGGCGGCACAGCTTTGCCTTATCGGGCTTATCGGAACCTAATCCAGGAAGCAACGGAGGGCAACGTAACCCCTTCTCTCTCTCTTTTTCTTCTCTTTCATCTTCTGCTTCTTCTTCTCCTGCTCTCTCTCTTCCTCTCTCTTCCGCCCTCTCTCCCAGTGCGCTCTTCGCCGTTATCCCTGCTCCCACACCAGCTATACTATCTTCCTGCTGGACCGGCTACGTCACAGGTCATTATTTAAGCAGTTCCCGGTCTCCGGAGCCCGACGGACCAGAACCTCTTCTCCCTCGTGATTCTTTTGACTGCCTTCATCTTTACTGTCTCTTCTTGCACTGTTCATGCAAGGATATACGACTCCATTTCCCCGATAAGCGAGAATGTTCCATATCCCTTACCCACCCTCCGGGTCAGGCTACTGGAGCCCCGTTACTTCAACTCTCAACTGGTGTGAAGAGGTAAGAACCGCCAGCGGAAGTTCGAGTCTCGTCAATAACTAGCTAACCAATGCGAATTCGCTATATAGGACTACTATGCTACCGTCTATCTCGCCGAAATTGTCAATTCTTTGACCAACGTTTTGTTCCTCTTTCTCGGGATAAAAGGAATTCTTAGCTGCCGAAGAAATGGCCACGATTTCGTCTTCCAGGTTGCCTTCTTAGGCTACTTCATCGTGGGCCTAGGGAGCTTACTCTTCCACTCCACGCTAAAATGTATGCGCTACTTTCGCGACCTGTTTTGTTCCGATCGATCCGGCTAATTCTGACTTTCAACTAGATCCAATGCAACTCGTCGATGAACTCTCCATGATCTATACCACCTGCCTGATGTGCTATGCTACCTTTTCCTTTTCCAAATCTACGAGGAATCGCACCATCCTTGGCTTGAGTCTCTTGGGCTTGTCCGTATTTATCACCGCATATTATCACTACCTGCAGGACCCGCGGTTCCATCAAAATGCCTATGCGATCTTGACAGTCGTTGTGGTTCTGCGGAGTATGTGGCTAATGGAGGTTACTCTTCGATCGAAATGGCGCAAGGCCCAAGCCCTTAACGCCTCTTCTCAAGTCAATGGGCCAAGCCCAGGTTCTTCGCGAGATGTTCAATTGTCTCAGAACACTCGCGATTTGAAAATTCTCAATACTATGTGGCTCATGGTCATTTGTGGATTATCTTCGTTCCTCGGTGGCTTCGCTATCTGGAACCTCGACAACCACTATTGTTCCACGATCCGAGGCTGGCGCCATACTATTGGCCTCCCATGGGGCGTGCTTCTTGAAGGTCACGGATGGTGGTACGTACCGTTTCTCGCTCTCGACCCATACCTAGACTAATATGATTTATGCAGGCATCTATTGACTGGAATTGGCGCATATATATACATAACTTGGGGTACATGGCTCCGCCATTGCCTCAATGGCCGTCAGGACGAATACGAGCTCTACTGGCCACACTTTTACACTTTTCCTGAGGTCGTTCATGTCGAAAAGGAAATACCGAAGCCGGTTCATTTAGACGGAACATCCGCGATCAAAAGGCTTTAGGAGATCACTTTTTCTTCCCATTTTGCTAAGGGTGTCAAGGTGCGAGGTTGAGTCCCTGGTTTTTCTTGCTGGTTTGGTTAGAAAGCAATTTTATTTTGTTTTGGATTTAATCGTGAGTACCCTACTCCGTTTGTATATAGACTTTGTGATTTTGGGCTTGGAGTCGCACAATCTACACCTGATTCGTTGCGTTGAAAGATGTTGTTTTCTTATCTGGTTCGGTAACAATGGGAAGGAATGCATACGTCCGGGGGACAGGAGGAAAAGGCGACAGGTTCAATATTTATATCGTGCGGGCGGAGTCTTACATTGCTGCGGTTGATATGCTGAATAGATTGTCGAAGATATGCAGGTCATAGTGAATTTCTCATCCAAGCAAGAGAGATCTTGCCACAAAAGCCGCGAGAAGTTGGAGATTTCATTCCTTATACCCGAAAAGCTCATTATACGCCGCAAACGCAAAAGGATCTCATGCTTGTCTTTCAGTTCGGCTACGAATGAGGACTGCGAACGATCAATGATAATAGCTAGGTTAGAGAAAATAGATGAAAATGCACCTGACGTTTTTTACAATGCAATTCTTACGCTTGTCAGCTACTGTACATGCAGCGGAGTACTGGAAAAAAAACGGCTAAAAATACCAATATCGCTATCTACGCTATTTCTGTAGATTGGTCTATACGAGTACATCTCCAACACATATATCTATACTCCCTCACTATAACTTTGTCTCCTTCGCACTTCTATTCCCGTTCCTCCTCACCGGCGGCGGCCCAATCCTCTTCTTCCACTCCGCATCAATACTCATCTTCTCCACTTTACTCTTCCCATCCCAGAACCTCTTAAACTCCTCCTCCTCCTCCCTCCACCTTTGCAACTCCCTGCCCACCCACACCGCACTCAACTCCGCCGCCTCACCCACCGCCTCCATCGGAATCAAATGGCCTACATCCTTGAGCGTGCGCGCATCCACCCTCCCTTCCTTCACCCCGCCGCTACCCCCGGCCCCAGAGCCCGTGATTTCCAGCTTATCCCGGCAGAATTCCGGGTTGCTCATGTCCGACTTGTCGCCGAAGATGTAAAAGGCGCTGGGCCGCAGATGGCGCAGGGAGGCGAACATGCGCGGGGGCTCGGGGCGGTAGAAGGAGAAGCCGTCGGGCGTGCCGAGTTCGATGTCTGGATGGCTGGAGTGGGTGAGGGGTGCGCTGGGGTCGTCGGCGCGGTACTTGGGGCGCGAGAAGGTGAATACTTCTTGGTGGAGGGTGGTGGTGAGGGTGACGGGGCGGTGGCCGGGGGGTAGGGATTCGGATTGGGGGTCGAGAGGGTGTAGGGCGGTGGGGAGCTCGCGGAGGCCGTGGGTGATCCAGCGGTCGAAGACGCGGGGGTCCCAGGATTGGTAGAATTTGCTTTTGCGGAGGGTTTGGGCGGCGGCGGCGCGGGAGGGCCAGATGTCGCGGCGGTAGGTGGAGGCTAGGGTGGTGGTGGGGATGTGGTTCTTTTTGGTGTGGAAGGTGTGGTTGGTGGTGTAGGATTTGAGATTGTGGATTGCTGGGTCCATGAGGATGACGGTGGTGAAGAGTCGGGGGTGCATGGTTGATAGGGCGACTCTGGAGAGAGCAATGTTAGATAGTGCTTCTGCATTTATGGCCATGGTTTGGCTGGGGTTGACGAACAGGTGGCCACCGCCCATGCTATGGCCGATACCAATGATCGGGCGCGGCATCTCCTCCCTTTTGAGGTTGATCAAGTGCAGAAGATCGCGAGGATGGTCAAACCACGAAGCTGCTCCGCGCATTAGTATGGGGGAGTCCGGAATGACTATAGAGACAGTGCCATACGGTCGTTTCCTAGGGCATGCTCATTCATCACGCTGCTGTTCCCTTGATGTGCAACATCTGCGATCCAGATGGCCCTGATTCGGAATCCATTCTTCTTTGAGCCAGCCAGCAGGTCCTCCCAGAAGGGCTCGTACAGCTCCTATTCCGCACCGTCAGACTCATACCCGCTGTGCAGCTGCGAAAGACTCTCTCTCACCTTCGGGAACCCGTTCGCATGCGCCCCGATAATGGTCACATCCCCAGGCTGTGGATCGGGGTTGTCCAGCGGGATATACTGCTTGACCGACAGATGCAACGTCTCCTCCTGGCTCGTGCTCGTGGCTCGGGGGTATTCACGGATGTGCTGGCACGGAACAACGTGCTCGACAACGCGGAAGGGGAACGTCGTGGAAGCCATTGCTGCTTTGGTCTTGCCTGTATGTCCCTGGTGTCTGGGATCCTTGACGACGCAGCCAGCTTCCCTGTGTTTGATACTATCCCCCTCGCGCCGGACAATCAACACACGGGTTTTGCTGGAAGAGCCGAGGCACAAGCCGAAAGCCGGCCCATCTTGGCATTTTGCTTGGCATATGAGTCAGCCACTTACCTCATTAGTCACATGACTAGGCGTTTCCTCCAGACGCGTTCGACAGTCGCGTCGCTGCAATTCATACAAATCTCCACGTCAACAAGCGCCATCAATCAAACAAAGGCTGCACAACGGGTTTTGCGCGCTGTTTGATGCGTGGTGATGATCTATCGCTCTTTCTAGACTTTTATCTGTAAATTCTTGGTCCATCTCGTTCGTTGTCCTTCAGTAACAGCCATGGCCGACGAGCCGTCGCATATTGAGGGAGGGCTCTTCTCCCAGTCCAGGATATGCATCGTTCGCTCCCACCATCTTGACAAGAAACTCGCCTCGGAGGTATATAATCCACTTCTTGGTGAGCAGCCTTCCTCTAATGACGGTCTAGGTTTTGTCTGCTGTCGAGGAAAATGGAGGCGAGGCGGTTATCCATATGTCACCCACACCGCTCCCCCCAATCAACGAATTCACGCATATTGTTTCCACAACGATTGATTTCCCCGGCCACGATGCGGCATGCGACGCGCTTATCCCCGTCGTCAAACCGCAATGGATTCACGCATCGATCGCGAAGAACAAGCTTGCAAATCCCCGCCAGTATAACCCCGACCCGAGGCTCTTCTTGAACGACGTGGTCGTGTGCTGCCTAGATATACCCGAAGGAGACAAAGATGCGATCGTTGGAGGAGTGCTGGCTATGGGCGGACTCTATACTCCGCGGATTACGAGCAGTACGACGCATTTAGTTTGTCTGTCCATGGACGCGGAGAGATGCCGAGCCACAACTGCGAAGCTGACCCGTTTAAAGATCGTGCTTCCTCATTGGTAAGGGTCTTATCTTTACCTCAGATTTAGGCATGGCTGACCGCTTAGGTTTGACGATTGTCTAAAATTGGGCAAGCGGATAGATGAGGAGCCGTATACGCTTCCCAACCCCGAGATCCTTAGCGCTCAGTACGATGCACCTCTACGAGTGGTGGAAAGCAAAGATATCGTCGGCGCTTCGACCTCGGAACCGAAAAAGTTGCCTTTGCTGGATGATGCGCGGGAGGATTTGAATGTATTCGATGGCAAAAGAGTGATGATATCGAGCGACCTGAACATTGGAGAACGCGTGTTACAATGTCTGGAAACCCTAGTGATCAAGGGTGGCGGTAGCATTGTTTATGATGTCGATAGCACAGATATCTATGTCTGTCGTTATCGTGAGGGCCAAGATTACCAGGCTGCCTCGAGAGCTGGAAAGGAGGTTGGCAATCTATCGTGGCTTTACCATCTTATCACTCGCAACACTTGGATATCTCCGCTCCGTCGACTCCTTCATTATCCAATTTGCCGAGACGGTATTCCGGGATTTAAAGGCTTCAAGATCAGCTTGTCCAACTATGCGGGCGAAGCCCGCATATACCTTGAAAACCTCATCATTGCCTCCGGCGCCGAATGCACCAAAACACTAAAACAAGAAAATACGCATCTCATCACAGCACATGGCAATAGCGAAAAGTGTACCGCCGCTCGAGAATGGAACCTACATGTCGTGAATCATCTCTGGCTCGAGGATAGTTATGCGCAGTGGCGGATGAAAACGGTATCTGAGCCTCGATATACGCACTTCCCCAAGAGAACCAACCTAGGCGAGATCGTTGGCCAGACAAAAATCGACAAATTCGCTATCGAGGAGCACTTTTTTCCCGGCGAGGACGATGGTGCAGCCGCGAGCGAAACTATCTCACCGGGCGCTATGCAGCAGAAGGATGATAACACCCGTAGCGACAAGCCTGAAAAGGGAGAGGAACCAAAGAAGACAAAGGTTGCACAACGAATAGAGATACCCAGATCTTCTACCCCCCGAAGAATCAAGGAGCCAAAGACTACGGCCAAGAGAGATCGACTCTCGCTTCAAACTCCTCACGTATCTCGATTCATGACTGACGAAAAAGAGAACAACACCCCATCCACGACCGGAAGTAGAAAGTCCAAGGATGTTGCAGCTGCACGGCTGATGGAGATCGCACCTGACATCAATCTTTATGAGCGAGAGAAACGGCGAACTGGAGGTGTTGTCTACGGAGGTAGGAGGAAGAGCGCTGATGAGGCGGACGTGTCGAGAAAGCGATCCATTGAACCGGATGAGATTTCAGACACGGAGAGCAAGAAGCAGAAGAGAGTGAGGGCGCCAGTGTCTATGCATCTACTTGTTACGGGTTACGCGCCATGGGTGGGGAACTGGAAAAAAGAAGATAGCGACAGGGTATGCCATTCCTTTTTATCTCTTTGAATTATGGGTAGCTAACATGTACGACAGCGTCACCTTCGTGACCTGGGCATCATGGTTGTCGCCGATGCTTCTAGGTGTACACATGTCGCGGCCCCGTCAATCCTGAAAACCCCCAAGTTTGTCAACGCGCTTGCGTTTGGGCGAAAAGTCATCAGTTGCGATTTCATAACGGACTGCATCGCGAAAGATAAGCTGCTCGATCCGGACAAATACAAGTTGCGCGACAAGGAGTCCGAAAAGAAATACGGGTTTACCCTCGAGCAGGCACTGCAGCGAGCCGAGAAGAACAAGAACAAGCTCCTCCAGGGCCGAACAATATTCTGCGTCGAAACAATCCACGGAGGCTTCGATGCTTTCAAATCCATCATCGAGAATAACGGAGGACAGTGCGCGATGTACCGGGGCCGACCTATCACGATTCCCGGGCGGCGAGGCACCGATACTGATGAGCCGCACAAGGACGAGGTGTACCTGATTAGTGGCGATGACAAGGGTCATATGAAGGTCTGGCCGAAATTCCGTACAATGGTTCAGGATCGGAAGAAGATACCAAAGATCGTCCGTTCAGAGTGGCTATTGCAAATCGTGATGTCGCAGGAGTGGCGGTGGAAGGACGAGTTTGAGTTGAAGGAGGAAGATATAGTGCCGGCCGACGAGTGATTGGTGGATTGATCAATTCATAACAAACTACATTTAGCAGCTTGGAGGGTATCGGAGTGTTGGACACTGATGCCAGTCGGCTCGTCGTCTTGTTACTGGTTATCATCTGGCAGGCATGTAGGTATAGCTCTCAGAGTCTCGCCTCATAGTTAGCGATTCGGAATTTTCGATAGCATTTCTTCAGTGCATTTCCCAGGACAACCCATAGGTATTTAGAAGAATTTGACGCCTTGCTGGTCTTCGCTTCCAAACACCTGTGCCTTTCCACGCTTTACCAAAGTGTGCAGCGACTTCTGCAGCACATCCGGATCCATGCCGTGGAACTCTTGCGATATCGTCGCCTCGCCCTCAATCAGCTCGTAAAGCGTAAGAACCGTATTCTTCTGCGCCGTCTCCTCAACCTGCACAAACTATCAGCTCAACGCCCGCCACCAGACACCCAAGAGAGGAAGACAAAAGACATACCCAATCCGCAATCACACCCGCCCACTCCTCCGGCCTCCTCCACCAAATCCACGCCGCACTCTTCCCACCCGCCTCCCCGCCCACCCACTCGGCCCTCCGGCCGCCCTCGGCGCTACACATCCAGTCCAGCACCTTCCTAGCGTCCGCCAGACTCAGCCGTCGCCGGATAGTCCTATTGTGAAACAGCGCGGAGTCGAGGGCGTCGACGAGCGAGAGGCGGTAGAGGCGGTGGTGGCGGCAGTAGGACTGGATCAGGGCGGACCATTTTTGGAGCTGGGAGAGCAGGGTTTGGGTGTTGGGCTGGAGGGTGAAGAAGGGCGGGAAGGAGTGCGGGGCGGGGAAGGCGAAGGTGTCGGCGGCGGAGGGGGGTTGCTGGGGAGTCGGGGCCGGGGCGGCGAGGAGGGACGGGGTGGTGGCCATTGGGAGGACTGGCTGGGAGGAGTGTTGCTGGAGGTCGCGATGGTCGAGGTGTGAGTGATCAGCTTGTGGAAGACGGAGTACAGAAGTCTGAGCTACTAAGTTAACGGGTGTCTTGCGGGATGACATCATCAGGATGGCAGGTAGAAATTGCACACTACGCCGAGTGCAATGGAGAATTAAATGAATGCTACGGAGTACAGCCACTATATTTTGAACCTAGCATCCATTGGACAAAAGCACACAGGCAGCCTCATCAATGAGGGAGCGAGACATTATCAAAGGCAGGAAAGGGGACTAAAATTTTAGATGGTACCGAGCGGGCATGTCTATCACCAAGTCACATCTTGAACCATCTGTGAACTTGTGCCTCCGCAACAGAAAGACAATCTCGAGGATCCCAGGTCTGCAAGAGGTATCATCTCTTCCTCTGAGAAGACGATAGTTTATTCCATTCCCATAGTTCCATGTGAATATCGAATAAAGCCGTCAAAGGAACGAGCTTCATCCCGCCATGCTTGTTGTTCTGCGACTCTGCGAGCATTAGTAGACACCGTGAGTCCATCTCGTCCCCAAATAATTCTTGCAATTCTCCCACCTTGTCCACCATGGCTCTGGGAGCCTTCCAACAGGGGACGATTTGAAAGAGATAGTCATCCGGATCCTCGTCACATGTTCCAAACATCTTTCTCCGGTACGTATCTGCATGAGTGTATAACAAGAGCCCAGAGATCGCAGCCGTTGCCGACTGATTGTCTAAGGCAATAAAATAGACAAAGCAGAAATGCGTTCCACTGAGCTCATCGATCTGAAAGTAATTCGGAGGGAGGCAAACATATTTCCCGCCGACTTTTTGATCTCAACCCAGTTGCCTCAACTCGATTGGAAGCATTTTGTTGTTGCAATTTTCAGTTGATGCATCTGTAGCAAGATTTTCAAAACAACATAACTTGGAGTCATAGATAGCAAGTCTCAGAGATAGCAGCCATTGATTCCAATACAGTCACCAAGGTAAACAGGGTGATGCCCTCTGGGGACATAGTCGTAAACGTGGTCCACTCGCTCATTGCCGGCCACGTATAGGCGATCATGCATGTCAGGATCGTGCTCCATTTTCTGAAGCTGGGTATCTGCTCGAAGCAACTCCCGATTTGCTTTGTTATAGAAGTGGCTTCTCTTCTCTGGTGGCCTGTCGTTATATGCGGCGCCCAGGGTTCGACTTGACCGGGAGGGCATTTTGAAAGCGTGGTAGCGAGTTTTCTTATTAAGTCCAATACTAACTAACTAGCGATTCTAGGAGCGTTGTTGCCAGTGACGGGGCAAGAAGCATGAACACAGAGAATTGAAAGAGTAAAGCGAGGAGAATAACGACGGAGTTTGTGGGATTGATGGACGGTAGTTGAATTTATAGGCGAGAGTTTCTCCAATCTGTGGAACTCAGGATAAAATGCTTGCTCCATCCCACTCGTTGTATTCTCATGATATTTATCATACACCAGCATAATCCTTTTCCGGCTCTAGAAACAACAAGACCACTAGTTATATCTTCCCTCCAGGGAATTGGAATTCTCGTTACCCTCTCTTTTCCACGCCCTCGCCCGCAATGACAACCCCGCCACCAAAACGCCAAAAGCGCAATGAATACCGCAATGAAAGAAACGCTCAAGAGACTGGGCCAATTCAAATGCCCAAGAAACGGCTATTCCGCCAACGAGCCCATGCGAATCCCTTTTCAGATCACCAGTTGAGCTAGTGAGTGGCGTTGTTTGTGCGTCCGCGCGCGGCGGAAAAAAATCAACTTACACGGTTGAACAATACTAAATGACGATGGTGAAATGATAGCCCGATCAGCCCGGATCATATGGATTGGTCCGTCCATTTCCCAGCCTACGTGGACCCAGACCCGAGTAAGACGAATGCAGCCGGTGCGCGGAAGCTATTGAAAGACGTGAAGGTTGCCGATATAGGATGCGGGTTTGGAGGATTGCTGGTCGCTCTGGCGCCGGTGATGCCTGATACTCTGATGGTCGGTATGTGGGTGCACATTCTTCTTCGCCCTTTGGTCGGGATTACGGGTGCTAAGCCAGCTCTGTAGGAATGGAAATCCGCATACAGGTCCTCGAATACGTCACGGCGCGAATCCAGGCTCTCCGGTCGCAACAACCGCCTCCTGAAGCGCCGCCGGAGTCAACTCCTTCAGACGAAAGTCTACAGACGCAAACGCAATCGCAAGCGCCAGCGCCAGCGACCCCATCTCCCTCCTCGACCGCCGTGTCTCGTGCGTCATATCAGAATATATCAGCCATCCGCACAAACACGATGAAATTCCTCCCCAACTTCTTCTCGCGCCACCAACTCTCCTCGATATTCATCTGCTTTCCCGACCCACATTTCAAGGCGCGAAAGCACAAGGCGCGAATCGTCTCGACAACGCTGAATGCGGAATATGCATATGTGCTCAGGCCGGGAGGCAAACTATACACGATAACTGACGTGGAAGATCTGCATCTCTGGATGGTCAGCCATTTTGAAGGGTCTGCGGATGACGCAGCGGGGAACGGGATTAGTGAGCTGTGGGAGCGAGTCGGTGATGAAGAGTTGGAGCAGGATGTGTGCGTTAAGATTATGAGAGAAGAGACGGAGGAGGGGAAGAAAGTTACTAGGAACGGAGGGAAGAAGTTTGTGGCCGTATGGCGGCGAAAGGAGGATCCGGAATGGATCCCATGAGCCCTCTTGCATGCCGGGCAAGCGGCTCTTTTTCCATATATGCCTACACTTCTGCAAGTCATATGCGGCTATAAGATCTCGCATTATGTGGCCATTCTTGACCACAAAATGCATTGATTCTGGAAGGGAAGCCCGCAAGTTTCGGTTTTTCCCTTGTAATTGGGGAAGACCACGAGGAGCGGAAGCTAGAGAAGATATAAAAGTACCGATACATATACCCTTACTAGGCCCTTAGAGCTGGACCATCATTTCCAGCCTTTCCAAAGGCTTCCTCACCAGAAGCCGGTTAATCGATAGTTGAGCCACCTCTCCATTACAGCGGTGCTATAACTAATGGAGAAGAGTAATATGAACCTTGAACATTTGGATATACCAACTAGAAGACCTAAACACCTCTTATGCGAAACAACTATTCTTATATGATTTCGCTTCGACCCGCCACCTCTTTTTACACCTGCTAAATGCCATACAAACGGAATTCAAGCCTTCAGTCTTCTCGCCTCACACTTCTCGCACGCCGCTAGCTCCACCGGGCCTCCGATCTGTCTCCCCCTAGCAGTGACTCTAGGCTTCCCCTGTCTGAGGAAAAACCGTCCTTCGGGTCCAAACCCGTCGCCACACTCACAGCAGACAAAACATTTCTCATGCCACTGGCCACCAAGAGCGGTCACAACCACATCCTCCAGCACCGGCCTCTTGCAGCCCCTGCAACTACCTGCGGTGCGCCGAGAATGGCACCGCACACACCATGCGTATCCCTCCTTTTCAATAAAGGGCGTCTTCGGAGTGAACGGGTCGCCGCACTCGGCGCAGAAAAAATGGCCCACATGCCATTCGGCGCCGCACGCGATGATGACTTCTCCTTCGATTGGTGTCTTGCAGCTCTTGCAGCGTGGGGAGAACAGCTCATGGAAGTCGAGGTGGCAGTAGAAACGTGGGTGGTTGGATTCT